GCCACGAGCTCAACCCTCCCAACCTCCCCCCAGCTGTGCTGCCAGCCCAGAGCCACCCCGTGTCACCCGCAAAGCAGAGGGGACCCACACTCACATTTGTCCCTCGGGGGCGTAGGTGGAGCCGGTGATGCTGAACTCGTGCAGGCTGCACTGGGCACCCTCCACCTTCTCCATAATGAACATCTGCCAGGGGGAAAGAGGGACACAGAGCATTAGGCAGCGATTTTTTGGTATAAACCCCATGCCCAGCCTGGAGACCCACCAGCCAGTACCATCCCAGCGATGGCCCCACTGGCATGGGCTCAGGCCTCTCCCTGGCCGCCCACTGCTCCTGGCCACCCCCGAATCCTTCCAGCTCTCCCCTGCCTTTTTCACATTCGCCTCCTCCACCTCTTTTCTTCCATCGGAGAGGAGCGATGCCAAACCAGTTCCTAAGAAGGTGCCTGTGTTTTTTTTGGAGCAGAGAAGGACTTGGGTCTGGGTTTCCACTCCTGCCCCCACCACCCTGGAAGACTCCGCAGGGCAGGATCTGATCAGCTGCCCCTGCCACCCTTTCCCAGCCAGCTCTTGGCCACCAGTTTGTCTTGTGTATTACTGGGATGGCAGCATGGCAGCTCAGTAATAAAGCCCCGAGGAGATGTAGAAGTCCCACGTGCTCTATTTTTAGTGGTTTTTGCCTTTCAAACTCCTTCCACTTTCTCTCTTACTGCTACAGTGAGAGCAACAAATCCCCAAAAACCTACAATACAACAAAAATCCCCCTCTCCCCAAGCTCCCCCAGTCCCCCCTTGCCCCCTCCCAGCACAGCCCGCCCTTCGGGGCAGCCTCCAGCAGCAGCAAGAGCAGTGCCCGACCCCAGCCAAGGCGACAGTTTGGCGACGCTCATTTCTGCTTAATCGTTATTTATGACCCATGCTGGAGCCAAAAAGTAACAAAATAATTAAATAAATAAATAAAATTGTTTTGATGAATGCATGTCCCCAGCTGTGACTGCCTGCGGGGAGCAGCCAGGAGAGAGAATGGCTAGGGGAAGCGATGCTCTCCTCAGCTCCATGAATCTTCTCAGCAGCTCCAGAAAGTGGGTGTGGGGGCAACTGTCCCCCTCCATCCTGTCTCAAACCATTCTTTTTTTCCCCCCTATTTATTTTCCTCTGTTGATTTGAGATGTTCTCCAGGAGAGGGAAGCAACAGATGCTGGAGAAATCAGGAGGCATCGCTCAGCACCAGAGATGCGACGGCTCCAGGTACCACCCACTTCTCTCCCCCCCACGCCTCCTCCAGCAACTAACAGAGGTTAATTTACTGTTACTATTAATTATTGCTAATAACACAGCGACACCCCACCAGTGCAGCCATGTTGGCTGGTGAATGTGAGACCTCCCCATACAGCCCGGTATCCGCAGGTACAAGCTGAGGCCCAAGCCAAGCTAAAAAGGTCAAGCTCGGGGAAGCCCGTTTATGGCAGGTTTAGCACCAGGACACCTCAGCAGGTTTTCTCACCTCTCTATTTTACAGGTTTGGGCAAATCAAAGCAAGAGGTTCAAAGAGCATATCTCCTGATGTGCTCCTCCTGTGCACATTTCTGAGCCCAAAGCAACCTCCCCACGGCTCCACAGCTTCACAGCTATTTGCAGATACCCCATTTGCTGGCCTATTGCCCTCAGCTCCTTTCCCAGAGCCCATCCTGGAGGCCCCTCAGCATCCCTGATGGGTTTTGAAGAAAATCGTGAGCCAGAGGGTTGCAGAACAGACGTCCCAGGTCCTCTGTCAAGGCACTGAGCTCCTCTGGCAGGAGGTGCAAACACTAATGCATGAAAGACCTTAATCGAGAGAGCCAAAACACACCCTGTCTCCTTTGGCGACAGAACCTGCCCGAGATGACGGACTTCAGGAACCAAGGCGAAGTGTGGTGCCCAGTTTGAGACAACACCAAAAGGGACCTTCGAAGGCTGAGTGTCCTTTATCTCCTTTTGAGATGTCCAACGCCATCGGCCTTCCAGAGAGCCAGAATCTCCTGGCCTCTTCAGAAAATGGACTCCTGTGCTCAGAAATGCTGACCGGACTCATTTATTAAAAATTCTGAAAGCATCCACCCCAGCCACGGGTGGTTTTGCCTGATACGGGTCTGTTTGTTTTCAAATGCTCACAGCTGCAAAACAATTACTGCTTTCACAATAGCAACTTTCTTATTAAAAAAGGAAAAGGAAAAAAAAAATCATCCAGGCCCTTTATTTTTCCATGCCTATTTAAAAAAGGTGCTGCGTAACCCACAGCAACCAGAGGTTATATCAAATTTCCTGCCTGCTCCCAGCTTGCGTGACTGGCAGAGCGAGGGGGCGGCCGGGGCACCGCAAAGGTGTTTGCAGGCTTTTGGCACGATGTTTCGGCAGATTTCCAGGCTGAAAAGGGGGCAGAGGTTTGCAGGCGGTGGAAACAGTCCAGAGGAAATAGCTGTGTCTTAGTCCATAAAGAGGATAGGTAAGGTTTCCATCACTAAAATAATATCAATAATAACAGGAGCAACAGAAGGAGGTGGCAAAGCTGCGCGCTGCAGCTCGACTGGGCGGTTTGGGAAGGCTGCTGAAGAGAGATGCTCGCAGAGGGGCTGCCCAACTTCTTGCACTGCCATGGTGAACACCAGCTCCAGCAGCCCGCAAGGGGAACCCAGCCAGCACCACCCCAGGACTTCCCTCTGCTCCCCCCTCCCCCCGCCCTTAACCCTTTTAAAACCATGCTGGTGACTCGGGATCTTAATGCCACAGAGAGATCGGAAGGAAAATGTTACTATGTGCTTATGAAGACCCCAAAAGGGTTTCAGCTATCGCTCCTCCTGCCCCGTGGGTCTCGCCTGGCCCCGGCACTGTATCACACAGCCAGACACTGCTGGCCTGTATTTTTAGAAAGCAAAGGGCACTTGTGGATGCGCCATCCCTGGAGCAGCGCATGGCATCTGGCTGCAGGCTTGCGGGGAAGAGAGATGCGAAGGATATGTCTTCACATTTCTGTATTTTCTGTAATATCTTTAAAAGAACTACTCATCAAAAGGCAGACAAGATAGGATTGCTGTCTGGAATTGTTAGAGGCTGTAATCATCAGTCATTTACCCATCAATCAGCCCACAGATTGGCATCATTTTCATCCTGCTCTGGAAGCAGCCCCGGCCGACAGGCACCCGCTGGCAACTGCCACAGCCGGCGGCTCGGCCGCAGCCCCTGGGAAACCCCCAGCAAGGTCTCCCATTAATTAGTGACTAGTTTAGATAAACGGAACTGCTGAATCAAGGCACAGTGTTCTGGAGATTAAAAAGCAAATAGCGCCTGCACAGCTCCTGGGCAGCTGCACCGAGGACGGGAGTTTGCACATCCAGGCTCTGCTACAGGGTTTATTGAAAATAAACCCCTTCCTGCTCTTCTTCCCCAAAACAGAACACATCTTGGAGATAGCCAAACATCACCAGCCACCTCCCTGTCTCAGACATGGGGCATCAGCATCTCCCCGCTCCAGCCCCATCCTGCTCTGCCCCACACAGCAGCAGCCCGAAGCCTGCACGGCCACACTCGCATCTCTGCTTCGAGGCCTGACTTTCCAACGCCACCCTCGTGATCCTGGAAAATCAAGTTACGGTGCATAAAAGGGAGCTGCAAGTTTTAGGAGAGTGGTTTACATGTGCAAGAGCAGAGCTGCAACACCTCTCTGCCCCTTCTCCCCCTGCCAGACTCCCATCAATCCCAGTCGCAGGGTTATTTAATGGTTGGCAGAAGACGGTCCCTGCCTGCTCCGCAGCACAGGCTGGGTGAGACGGTGGTCTCGGAACCCCCCAGTTGATCGTAAGGTGAGCAACATGAACCATGGGTTTAATTTGATTTACTAAGTGGGTTTGTGGCTTTACTGCAGAGCTGTAACCTCGGGTGGACTCGAGGTTAGAGAAAAAGCACCAAAGTCTCGGCCACCCGAGATGGACGAGGCCCCCAGCACAAAGCACTTCAGCAGACACTTAACACCCAAGGGCATTTGGGGGGTGCAGCTTCACCCCTGCTGACCACCTGGGATCCAGATGTGTCCTGCTGAGCCGCTGAGCCAGCACCCCCCTGGCCACAAGACCCAGGCGTCAAGTGGGACCTGGAGCTGGCGAAGCAGTTCTAAAAAGAAAAAAAACAGCCAAGGGTTCTAAAACAGACTCGAAGCCTTTCAAGAATTACTTTACAGCTCTACAGACCCAACGCTGGCAGTGAGATGTAAAGGGCAAGCACGGCTCAGCAGCATACCCTGTGGCTGAGCAGCTGCGCTCATCCCCATTGGATGTGTGAGTTAATCAAACCACACGCAATTAATACATTTTTTCCAGGTTATAGATAGGCTTTCGTGGCTTTTTCACCCCCCACAGCTGAGACG